ACAGACATCTTGCAGCATGACCACAGTAGAAGGTCGAACGTTTCCACAGCTACTCAGGGTCACTTGCAGCATCTGTGGCGCAACTCAACCCAATCCTCGGGCCAGCTACCAACACAGGGTGATGCAGCTTGGGGAATGTTGGGGGGCCTCAAGCTGGGAACCTGGACTTTAGCGGCACATTCGCGAAACTTTCGCGAAATTTCACTGGCGCTTTCCCGGGGAAGCCGTATGCAAACATCTGCACAGCCCGTCAGAGCAGCTGCAGGTCGTTGCCTCACTGTCAGGGCTGCGCCTACTCAGGTTGCTTGTCTATGACTTGACAGTGGGGACAGGAATCGGAGAATCCTTTACGCACTGCCAGGGCTGGGCACGGAAATATTGAGGCTTCAATTCGTTAGTCTGTGACATATGGGGACACTTCCGCCCACCGGCTCTGCCGGAAGATTGCCTGGTACTTCTATTCTTTGTCAGTCCCTTAGAAAGGAAAACGTATGAAAGCGATGACCTTCGATAAATCTTTCGCGGAAAAAAAAAGATACTTTCGCGAACCTCATCGCGAATCTTTCGCGGATGGTTCTAACAACATCTGAAAGGCTGTTTTATATAAAACTCCTTACACGGGGTTTTCGATCAACTCCCATGTCTCCAAGCTAGATATCCGAGTTCACAGCGCTCCCTATAGTCTTAGATGTCCAACTTCCTCCTGCACTGGCAGAAATCAGCCATCAACCGCCGAAGAGTCCCTACAGTAGGGCTCCAGCCACCTCCTCAGAAGGTGGTTAGACCCCCAAAACCCACCCCAACCACCTTCTCAGGAGGTGGTTGGAGCCCTAGAAAGTAGCTTTGTTTTGCCGGATCTAAGCCTTACCGGACTCCCGGTCTCGGTGTCGACTCCCAGTTTCAGGTGACCAGGGGTGACCTGGTCGTTCTTTCTTCCGCTTCGACGGATTACTACCCTGCCAAGAAACACTGAAGGAGCAAAGAGTCAATCATATATCATGCATATTTTGAGCATGAATGAGCAAGAATATACTGATGATAGCTTGAGATTCTTTTTCGCATGTGTTTGGATTGCACTTGGGGTACCTCAGAAAATAGCTATGGTAGTCACTATATGTAGCCATACCACGGATTCCTGGCTCATTCAGTTGGCAGCCAGGGCTCCGAGCTATTGACCTCCAACAGCACGTTGGCCGGTTTGATGTCCCGATGCACGACCGGTGGAGCGAAGCTCGCGAGGTGCACCTCACGTGCCGAGCGCAAGCGCACCGAGCGCCCGGAAGCAGGCCACCAACGGCGAAACATGCGTTAACTAGGTCGACATGGTGACTAGGCGTTCATATTTTTGTCATGGTGAGTAGTGCCCTTTGATGGCATTTGTAACTACATAAGGGACATAAGGCGATTTGACATAAGACATCATAACACCATCTGGTTCCAATGGTCTTTCCGGACTTTTCGAGCTAAAGCCCCATGGGACTGGAAGAGTTGCCGTCCCCCGATTCCGGTCAAACACCCCAGCGGAATCGGCAAAGGATGGCAGGACGGAGGCGGGGGGGGTCAAATCTGCAGTCGTGGCTTTCAATAGTGCTGAGGTGCTTACTGCAGCCAATCCAACGATGCACACTGCGATGCTTGCAAGTTGAATAAAGTTGAACAAAGCGAAACATATCCGGTAGCTTCTTCTTGTTCCTAGTAGTAAGGCCAGGAGCCCCTAGTAGTGCTCCTAGTAGCGGTGCCCTTTGTTACTAGTAGCGTCCTTTGTTACTAGCAGCTACCAGGGTCGATTCTCAGGTGATATCTTCTTTGTCTTGATTCCTTGGTGCCACACAGTCAAAGCCGCCACGCAAGTGTCGGGATGGGCAGGAGCCGGTCAAAACTCAACACACCAAAACCCCTGATCAATAGATTCTGAAGAGGCTTACCATCAAAATGATCTTTGATCAATCCAGAGTCTACATGAGTCTATTCAGTTCATGGCCTTACTCACCTTCAGAGCTCAAGCCCGGGTTGAGTCTTGAACCTCATGCCATTCGCCTCGCGCCATTCGCCACGCGAGTCGCGCTGAATCTGTCCATGGTACACACACCTCCAGCAAGGTCTCCGCGAGTCGTCGGAGGTTCGGAGGAGTGGCCACCCAGCGGCCGCTTTTCACCTCTTCTTCCTGGGTGAAGGGGGGGAGCTGAGTCCGTCTGAAGCAGTGAAAAACAAACAGTGGTGCAACATGGTGCACACAAAACGGGTTCTGGTGAGTCTTGGCGCCTATTCGTTTTGGAAGATCAGAGTTATCATGAGTGATCCCTATCCAGATTTGCCGTATCTTCCCGATGAGTTTGGGAAATGTGGAGCACAAATTCAACTTTAATTGTCTTATCTGCCCCAATCTGGGCCGTTAACTGGTTACAAACACAATCGTAGAGGGACTTCTGCTTATAGCTTGCACTGGATTTCGCTGGACTTGCCATGAGGGTCGAACCCGCCATGTTGATTTCTGAAAAGCAGTAATATGTATAATATCAAACAGTTCAGGGCTTAAGGGGCGGTACATGCGGTACGATTCCATATACGCAAATATAAGGTCAATGTCCCTTCTGAGAACGACATGGGCTTGCGGGACCCGTCGCAAGAATCTCTCGCCGCAGTGTAGCAGATTGGAACACTTGATCTTCTTTCTAAATGGTTCTGTAAGAGCAAACCTGTTCTTGTTAATCTGTTGATTGCCTTGTTGATGAAGTACATGTATATACATGTTATTACACTGGTTTCAGAGTAGATGGCACAAACCCAAAGATGTCCTGTATATTGGGGTCCATATAAGCCGCCTTTAGGGGATTGTGCCATCTACTCTGAAACCGTGGTAAACAAAACAACCTCGGTTTGCCCCATGCCGATGTTCCTTCCACGGACGGCGACCGGACGACTAGCTCCCCGAGCCAAAGCTTCCAAGGTCCCTCCGCGCACCAAGGCAGAAACCAAACCTGCCGGTCTCCGATGTGATGCAAATGCAAGTAGCAGAATCCAAAGGCAGGCAGCCAGGCAAGCATTCTGTCAAGAAAAATGAAGCAAAATGGGACAACATCAACATCCATCAAGCATATTCAATCATCCCACATCTTCCAAACCCTTTTCCCAGCATTCTTGGTCTGACGTCCACTTCCCAAACCTCCAGGTGGCCCCCATTTCCCCGCCTAAATCCCGTCCGTTGGGTAGATCCCTCAGGATCGATCCATAGAAGCGTGGCACCGCCGGGTGCCGCACGCGCCGCAGCACCGCGGCCTCGCGCTCGAACTTGTCGAGGGCACTCCAGCCATCCTGGAGCGGGGAGCTGTGCGGTGCTTTCTTGTTATTTTCTTTGTGAAGGGGTGCATGACTGTACATTTTATGTGGGTGTTATGATGTGATGCATTAATTTAGTTATAGTTGTGAAAACATGTAAATTTATACATAATTCTTGCTTTAAGCTAGGCTAGCTAGCTGCTAGCCGACAACCTCAGCGATGATCTGAGATGAAGTTGTCACCTCAACTCCACAAGAAACATGCACGTGCCAGTCCACTTGATAGAACATGATAGAACAAAAATTTCTCTATAAAACTCATACTCCGAACCACCCCATGTCTCCTGCAGCTTGATAAGCTTTAGTGCCACTTCTTCACCTAGCAGGGCGTTCGAGCGGGGCTGCCAAGCACAGTTCACAAACACGTTTGGAAGGTGGCTGCTCCTATAGCCCCACATCTGAAAGGGGGCTACAAATGCCCCTAGGAAGTCAACTTTCAAGACATCAACTCCTGAATACTAACACATATTCAGGTGAAAACTTCCTGCTTGATGCCACCTATGGTGGCAAATCACTGGATATCAAGTGGTTGACATGCATTGAACGCTCTTGAACCCACACGCGCATTCTGTGACCAGCGAACTTGCCCTACGAGCCTGCGGGGAGGCTTAATTCCTCGTCGCACTCATCGCTGGCAGTTGCGCGCCAGGTAGTCCCAAAGGCTCCTGCGCCCAGCTTCTCTTCGAGCTGAAATCCATTGATCTCTTCCTGGGACACCACGGTTTGGCGCCTCTTCCATCCCTAAAACATCCATGAGTCCCCAAACAATCCTGCAATCCGTTCATGTAGACTCTTGATAAATACTCCCGCCCCATATATTTGGGTTGGTAAACCTCTTCGTATGGAGGAATTTATGAAGCAAGAGTCTAACCTCTGAAGGCTGACAAGGCTGACAAGGGCAATGAATCAACCAACCTCTGAAGGGATTTTGGTAGGTCCTTGACATCGCCACGTTTCAACACCCCCCCAACAAGAATATCAAAAGAACTCGTCTGCAAGCGAAGCCTCTCCCACAGCCGCCCGACGGCCACAACGGCGGTTTCGCCCGGTCGGGGAGCGGGGAAATCCACCCAGAAAAGGCCAAGCGCTGTGCAGAAACAGCGACGCCAGCAGCACGGTGACACACGGTGTCGCATGGCGGCGCGCCATGGCGACGATCTGGCGATTCAGTGGTGTGTGGTAGTTGGAAGGGTATAGAACTGTTAAAAACAGCCAAAACAATCAAGAAGTGGATGAGCTTGTTGTTTTGGCAAGTTGCTGGCAATCCTTGTGGGACGCATAGTTTTGTGGAGGTGTCAGGTGTCACAGGCAAATGTTGAGCTTTCTTGACTGAATGGAGGCCAGCTGCCTGCTGTTGTTGCAACACGTCTACACACCCACAAACTTCCGCTGAGGGCTAGGTCAAACAGCGACACGATGTAAAGTGATGTTCTGGCTCTGCTTGGTTCACAAGGCATCCGTTGGCGTATGGAATCCAAAAGCAGGAACGCTAGAGTTGCTAAAGGCCTCACCTCCTCAGTGCCCTTGGAAAATAAAGGTTCACCTTTTGCCCCCTGACAGGGGGGGGGAAAGGTAGGACAAACATGGACAAACCACTGACAGGGTAGGACAAACCCTACTGGTTGGACGGCCCCCCCCCGTTTCCACTGGTCTCTCCATGGCTCAGGCATTTCCTGCAGCAAATGGCCGTCCATCTTGAGGGCTTCCATCAGCACTTCTTGGTCATCACCTCGAAAATCACTGCTGCCACAGGTCGCAGCCCGCGAGCGGGACTCTTGTCAAACATAAGGGCAAGGTGAGGGGACCCCTTGCTTGTCATTGTCTCATGTTGTCTCTGCAAACAGTGACAATGTCAAACAATACCTGAAGATACTTGAAGGAGCAATCCCCCATGTTCAACTAAACGTCAGTCTACAATCTATAGTTTGCTTATGTCTGCTCGATCCTCGATGGATTCATACCAGAATTTATAACCCTCAACCCTGGGGATCCGTAGCACGTAACCACATCAACCTGTATATAAGCATCTTTCGCAGCCCACCTGGCATTTCCTGCGCGACTGTAAAAACCCTTGATGAAGAAAGCCAGCATTTTTGGACTGAACGACCTCTTCAGGGTTATGGAGGGTTAAGTGAACATCTCCATCAAGGGATCTACAATGAAGCCTTTGGATCTCCAAATTCCTCCCCGTGCCCCGACTCTACTTCACCTTCCAAGGGACACGCGGGTGGCGCTACATGGTGCCACGCCTCCACGTTCTGCGCCAAGGCATCGACCGCCACACGCTGGGAGCCCCGCAACACCGGTGCTGCCCACTGCAGGGCCTCCCCTGCATGGCGCACCGCCTGAAGAACCTCACGGAGCAGCGGGGACCGAAAGTGGAAGGTCTGACATGATCTTACCAAAGATCCTCAAATGATCATTCCTGTCTGATCAGTGTGTTGGTTGACAGTTTCCCGTGTCTTTTTGTCTTTGTTTGTTCAGGTGTTTTCGGATTCGAGATGATTCGAGTTTTGGAGGAGTATAGAATACATTGACCTACCAGTACTTGTTTTGATTCCCTAGTAGAAATTGCACCGGAGCTGCCAAGTCAGCATTTGAGCAATATCATGAATCCAATCGCGGAAAGTAGAGGTGATACCAGTCAATCTTCTGTTTGCTCAGTCTGAGACTCTTCTGGCCAGCATGTGTGTCATGGTTCTCCATGAGGTGCTGCTGTACATGCGCAAAATTCCTGGGTTCTTCGCTGTGAGGCTCTTCTCGGATACCCCTAAGGCCGTTTGCAATTGGGCTCATCAACTGTTCACCTTTGGATATCATTTAGCTAGTTCAACAAACTGATATCTATATACAGTATTCTTATCTATTCTTTATCAAGTTTGTCAAACATGAAAGCATCATTGATTCTGTCCGTCCACCCCCCCGCACCTCCCCCCCATGATGGTCCTTCGATGTCCTTGGAGATGACGAGCGGCCCAGACCGGTCCACACCGACACCGAACGACCCAAACACAAAACGACCTGGTGCGCCTCGTAGGGACTGTGGGGGAATTATTTGGCTCCCAATAGTTAAGGGAATTCCGGAATGGATCCAGCCACTCTCAGCCACCCTGCTAAGCACTCGCAACAGTCAGAAAGTGTCGAACGTCAATGCAGTTCAAGCTTCCACCTCTTCATCCGCTTGAAGTCTCTCAGAGGCGAATTTCAGTAATCGCCCCTCCAGCGCCAAGATCTCCAGGAGCAGTCCTCTGAGTCCAAAATGTTTGTCTCATTTTGTCTCATCCAAAGCCAGCGGATCGAATGCAATCAAAAAGGGGCAAACCACCAAACCAAAATCTTAAGTGGGGATGCTGGAGATGGAGTCCAGAGATGGATTCCCACGATGTTCAGATGAACCATGTTGATGGTGCCTCAACTCTACACCCTCCCTGGACAACCATAGAGGAAAATTGTCTTCCAAGGCCATTTTCTGCTTCCATGATCGTTGGAGGGGCAGTAAGCGAAGCCCCGCAAATGGTGGTATGATGTGATGACGAGTTCTTTCCATTCTGCATATAATATCACATATTTATATAATATTGTATTTACACTGTGTCCAATAGTGTCTCAGAAATATACGAGTTAAGTATGATAACGATCATTTTGGCTGAAAAAATGATAAAACAATGTGACTCGCTCATGAAGCCCTGCACATGTTGGACGCCAGCTGACCAGCTGGGTAGCCTTGCCATCCTTGTACCGAGAGCGCGAAGAAGAACATCGATGAGGACACCGAGCGGCCTTTGTCATCCTTGAGCTCCTCTGCTGCGAACTCAAAACTCCCAGGCTTTCCTCTTGCCGCCTTAGGGAAGCCCACTAGGTCGATGTCACACAAAAGGTCGATGTCACCAAGCACTCGGCCAAACAAGCCCATGTATGTAATGTTCAATTGCCAAATAGTCAAGGGAAAGGGAAGAATAAACAGCTTTCCCGAAATTCTTCCCAATCCCTGAGTAGTTTATGGAGGTCGGAATGATGAACAGAACGTTGTTTTCAAACACTGTACTTCCAACTTCTTCCTATTACGCCGACGACAACGACGACGGCTAATACATGCTGCTACTGCTGCTACTGCTGCTACTACTGCTACTACTACTACTACTGCTACTACTACCACTACTACTACTACTAACTCATTACTACTACTCCTCCTCCTGCTGCTGCTGCTGCTCCTACTCCTCCTGCTGCTGCTGCTGCTGCTACAGTAACCCCAAATTTGGAAAAAAAACGGATCGATAGTGCAGATTAGGCAGCCACCAATGGGATTGAAACAAACTAATGCAGCTTGACTAGCTTTGTCAGGTCTAGCTGGTCACCCATCCGATCCAGTATGATCGCTGGTGAGCCCAAAGCCTCAACTACCAGTCTTGAAGTTTTGGCTACAGATGGCTACAGTAATTCTGCGTTTCTCCTTCTGAGGGTGTCCTTATTTGGAACCAACCAAGTGGAATCCTATCCTATCATATCCTCTCCACCCACCCAGAAAGCAAAACAACACTGCCACGGACACTGAGCGGCTTGCAGCACAATGGAGCTCGCTTTGCGCAAGGCCTCACTGGCATACCTGAAGCGGTCTAGAGACGTAACCACCAAGTTGGACAAATGCAAAAGATGTCCAAAGTATAACCACCCTCGTCCTGTCCCGCTCCTTCTCAATTCACACTCCGTATCAAGGGTGGGTGGAACATGTATTGTGCTTCCTTCTAAGACATGTGTGACGATTCATGATCTTTGATGGTCGGCCAGTGAGGGACGTGATACTAAATGGAATCAGGTCGTCTCACAGATTCAGAATCCGGAAAAGTGCATTTGGCACTAACATGCACTAGCTATAGCACTCTCAAGAATGACGTCCTTCCAGGAGACTGCAAGGCATCCGCGTCTTGCTGCACAGCCTCAGATGCCCATGGGCAAGTGTGGCAAGGTTCTCACGACTGTTAAAACCCTTTGAATCGAATATCTCGGAGTAAGTCTCGGAGTACACTCCTCCGTGATCTTTGGCAAACGTGTACACATGAAGAAAGGCTGTGCTATTTAAGGTTGGGACCGTTGGAACGTTTCCAAGCGCGCCAGGAATGTTGGTTGACTCACGTTCTGGACGACCCTTCGCTGTCGAACGAACCATAGTACTTAGTACAGGCCAAGAATTTGGGGCTGTGACTGCCTGCTGGGAAGTCAAGGATCGCCCGGCAAAGCAATGCAATCTATGTCTCCCACTGGGCTACAGCCACCTCTATTTCTTGCACCACACTACCACTACTGTATCTTCCGTGCTGCAACTGGCAAGGTCTCTTGAACAACCTCTGAGACAAAAAGCTCAGTCCTCTTGCTGACCCAAATACGTGCAGCTTTTCTCCGTGACACCCGCAGTCTAGGGGCTCCAACATGCTCCAACATTTGTGGTTCTCCACTTGACTTATATAGATCGTCTTAAAAGCAAAGGGGCACCATGTACCTGGAACCCAGCCCATACGAAGCTCAAGTGTGTTCTACCATGTTCTACCCGCCCTTTCACAAAAGTACAGCCTACAACATCTGAAACGTGATGAAACCTGACATGCCTGGAGACAGTCCTTCAGCATATAGCCTGAGCACATGGCCATGGTGCATGGAGTCCATGCTCCAGTCTTTCGGCGATCCAGGTCCCCAAGTCGAACACCAAGGTATGCTGCCAAGTCACTCTGGAGACGATCGTTCGATCGTCCCGAAGCTTCTCAGATGCCAGTTGGAGCATCAAACCGTCGTGAGACACGCACCTGGGATCATGTTGACGCCATTGATGCTCAGGGCAAACGGCAACAAAAAGCACGCACGAAGAGCTGTGTTGGCATTTTGGGGGAGTCCACAATGGGTCCACGTGGACTCCACTGGGGCAACACGCGTGGAACACTGTTTGGACGGGGCATCCAGGGAGGCTTTGCCCTAGAGTAGGGAGAGTAAGCAGCTCATATTCACAACAAGCTCGAGGCATCTCAGTAGAGGAACCGAACTAGGACCCTACAGTGGTACATCTGGGATAGGCTATATGGCTGTTCAACCTTTCTAGGAATGGCAACAATGCATCCCAAAACACGCGTCTTCCCCCCAAGGCCGCCGTGGTCGGCCCGATGCAGCAAAGCAACTCCAGGAGCACATCGTGATCAGCCTCAGCCCAGCCACGCGGTTTCCCACTTGGGTTGTTTTGGCAGATTTTCCCTGTGCTCCTAGTAGCTTCTTGTTCCTAGTGGTATGGCCAGGAGCCCCTAGTAACGTCCTTGCTCCTAGTAGTAAGGCCAGGAGCCCCTAGTAGCTTCTGGTTCCTATGAATCGCATCATAAAGGGGTTCTATTGCGCTTCTCGCGATGACTTTGATCCGTCTGCTTGCATTGTCTCTGGACCCTAAAGCAGCAGCTCCTGGTTATGTGGATGGCACACTAACTATAGCCTCGATCCCAAAAGAAAGGCCAGAAACAATGACGCCAAATACCCAACATCTCCAAGTTGAAGAAACGCCTCACATCTACTGGGGGATCTACTGGGGGATCTACTGAGGGATCTCTAGGGTCGCTCCAATCGTCTCGATCCCAGTCGTGTGAGGCCTCGCCATCGGTTTCGCCGTGCGGCGCGCCACAGCTCATCCACCACCTCCTCGGACGGACCGCGAGCGAATCGGAGTGGGTCCCAAAAGCGGATCGACGGAAGGTCGAGGAAATGCACTAGGAGATGTATTTGATGGGAAGTGGTAAGTCAATGGTAAGTCACTATGGTGGCCAACCCTGGGATCCTTTGAACATGCCTTTGTCATGTGAGTCCTGCACAGCATACATGTCATATATAATCAATCAAAAGCATAATCAAACATGCATGACTCGGTCAGTGCTGTCCTGCTGCTTTGTCCTGACCTTGTCCAGACTCAATCTTTGCGATTGGCGATGCAGTATCAGTATAAGTGTGATGGATCACCGGATTCGACTGCTTGGTTCATTCTGTGCACATTCGCCGTTCGATTATCGATGTGTGCCCCATGCTGAATTGTACCGAGAAAGGTCAAAGATTTGCACGTTTCGAGCAAAGGCAGCTGGCAGAACTGGGAGGGGCTGAGGGCTGATCAGTGAACTTGTTGTTTTTGTGCCAACGGATGTGCAAACGGCAATGACCGAACTGAGATCCACTGCCGTCGTCCCACACCGCCGGTGGATTCCAACGAATTCCAAAAGGAAGTCAGACCTCTTCTGAACGCTTTTTCTCCGCATCACACCGCCTGAACGGTGCCAAGTCGCCTGAAACTCCCACAACTGCACCGCCTCCGGCCCCCCCCCCCAAAAAAAAAAAACAAACACACACTCCAGCTGGCTCACTTCCGGAAACCACGCGTGGCCGCAAACCCCCGCGGATTCCAGTGGCGCGTGCTGTTGCGCTGGTTTGCGCTGAAACCGGACCCGCCGAGGGGCTAAACACTCGGGGTCTCGCTGCACGGCTGCCAGGACCAGTTCCTCAACCGTCGATCGCGTCGGTCCGTGTGACTTCTTGGTCGTGAGGTGCACGAAGCCGGAGAGCGAACCAACGGGTTTGGCGTCCGGGGGCCCTGAGAACGCGTTTTTTTTTTTGCGGTCTAAGGATCGCCGATCCAACAAGTGGGTTCCTTGAAAGAAAAAGGTCCAGCAGTCACAAGACGGGTGCCGAACTTGGAGGAAGTCGGGGTGCCCAGCTACTCCACTCCATGTGGCTCGTGGGTCTTGAAATGTCTGTTCAAGCTGGCTCGATGCGTTCGTGTCCAGAACCCATGAAACCATATGAGACTTCGAGCTTTGTGGAGAACTGCTCGTGTGCTCCCAAGAAGTTGGCTTCTGTCAGGATCCGTGTCTCCCCACTCACCACATGCAAGACCTGTCAGGATCCGTGTCTCGTGTTCCACGATCGCGTCTCGCCTTGTCAAGGGCGATCCCATCTCGAGTGGCTTGGGTCAGGAGACGCTTGGGCCGACCAGAGCGCCTCAAGCTGCGAGGCACATGGAGAGAAGGATTCGCGGGCACGCATCGTATGCGGGCACGTGTAGAACTATATACAGTATAATATTATATATATATGCCATGCATTGCAATGCTTACGTGTTTTTAGAGCTCTTAGCCCCCCAAAAAGTTTGCTCACGCCTTTCGCGAAGCAGTGTGTTGGCTTATGCGAGGCAGCCTTATGACACAAGTCTTTCACCTCATGACTGCGGAGGTTTTGACCCTCATTCTACATGGTGGAGTCATAATAATGATGGGTACTTGTAATTGTAAGTAATATCTTAATTGTAATATGTGTGTATATTATATATAGGTAATGCGCACCTGGTATTAACCAACCCCCCCCTATTAGTCTACCCAGCGTTCAGGCCCCAATAATAAACTAAGTTGAACTATGAATTTCCACAGTCACCACCCTCTAATAAAAATTTTGCTTGGCTGAACCCCCCCCCTATTAGTCTACCCCCTGTCCCCCCAGGAAAAATATAATTACTTAAATATATATGTGTGTTTAATTAGTTTTGTTCTTTTGCCTTTTCAATATTTTCTTGTCTTGCCATGGTGAAACTGATCATCTGATTGATTACCAATGCTCTCCCAAAGCAACAGTTTTCCTAGAATTTCCAAAAACTCTCTAGGAAAATTCGTTCATTTTCCCTTATTAAAACTCTATCAAAATCTGCAATTTGAGAAGCTCAGAAAGGGTACCCCATACACCCCCTACCCCCCTCTAATAGTGGGGTACCCCCCCTATTAGTCAACCCCATCCATGATGAGCTCTCATGGACCTCATGATGAAAGGGAATTAGTATTTGAGCTCTCATGGATCTCATGGATCTCATCATTCCATCCCAGCTCTTCCAAATACTAATTCCAATTCTTCCAAATACTAATTCCCTTTCATTCCAATTCTTCCAAATA